GCCGGCCAACTTTCTTATTTCATTCCGCATGGAGCGAAGTAGCAATGTCATAAGTTATTTATTTTGGGAGTCTCCCCTTCCTGTTTTCCTTTTTTCTCCGTGTTTTCTTTGCTGGTTTTTTCCTTTCCTTTTTTCTTATCTTCCTTTTTATTTTTTTTATTTTTTAATACGGGAATTATTTCCTAATACATGAATATTATTTGAAATTCATGAACAGTTTTTAAATTTGGAAACATACCTTAGAAGCATTAACATTTTTTAATTCAGACATTTTTCAATTCATGAACAGTTTTTGAAACAGTGAACAATTTCCAAATTCCCAATTTTGTTTGAAATACAAGAACAAGTTTTTAAATTCATTTTTTCAAATTCTTGAACTTTTTTTGTGATCCGTAGGCATTCTCATAATGGAACAATTTGTGTAATTGTGATAAATTTTTTGAAATTCTTGAACATGTTTTCAAATCCACAATTTTTTTTGAAATCTGAGAATAGTTTTCCAAATTCATGAATCATTTTAAAATGCGGGGGGATTTTCCAAATTCACGAATGTTTTTCAAATTTGGATGAAATAAATTCAAGTTCAGAATTTGCTTTTGAAATCCAAGAAGGTTGTCAAATTTGTGAAAATTGTTTTTGTTTTTTGGAATAGTTTTTGAAATTCAGAATATTTTAGAAATCACGAACTATTTTTAAAGAAGAAAATGAAAGAAACAAAATTAAACAAAGGAGCCACATTCTGAATATGGGCCAGCACAGGGCAAGAGCGGGGGAATGGGTGCTGCGCGTTTCCTCTCTATTCGCCATGTAGGTCGGGTAATAAGGAGAGCTCCTAGCTGACGCTCACGAGCATCAAACCGATGATCTTTCGCGCAGGGTGCATGATCTGAATGGACCGGTCCATTTGGTGGCGTCATGGCGTGCCACTATTAAAATCCCCAAAAATCACGATCAAAGAATTGAACTCATTAACTCATGATAGAGAGTATACGTTATTTACAAGTTGAGCTGCTGAATGCTAGTGAGTAACATGCCGCGCGAGTACTTAAGAACAAATTGCAGCGGCGGATAAAAAATTGTTTTTCTACCATTGAACAATTTTGTGATATACACTGAACAATTTTTAAATACACATTTTTTAAATATGCTGAACATTTTTAGGTACACAAATGAAAAAAAATTCAAATACCTTGAACATTTTCTTTATATGGTGAACATTTTTTTGCATGTATGATGAACATTTTTGTAATGCACCATGGACATTTTTATAATGTATGGTTAACTTTTTTTCTAATACACGGTGAACATTTTCTTAATATACGATTAATTTTTTTGTAATATGCGATGAACTACTTATATAACACACACAAAAAAAGAAGGAAAAAATAAAGAAAATAAATGATAAATAAAAAACGAAAAAAGAGGAACCAAAAGAACAAAACCGCTGAAAACGGACAAGCATTGAGAAAACCCGTAGTAAATAACCACTGAAGAGAAAAACCTGACAGGAAACGCGCGGATCCCGTACATTGACCGGTCCAATCGGAGTGAAGGCATGGCATTTTGACGCTAACAAGCGTCAAATAGGATCTGCCGGGAACAGGACGAGTGTGTACCTGGGCAATGGGCTGGCCAATAAAAGAGTCGCAACGTTGCGGCCTTTGCATCGGATCTTTCAGAATGTTCTTCGGACCATTTTTCCCTTTATGGCTCTTTTTCATCTTGTTTTACCTGGCTTTAATTGGATTTTTATATTTTTCTTTTTTCTTTTTCCATTTGTTTTTTTCCTATTTATTTTTTATTTTTCCTTTTATTTTCGTTCCTCTTGACTTTTAATTTATTTTTCCAATATATGACTTTTTTGAATTTGTGAAAAAATCAAACTCACGAAAGCTTTCGAAATTCATGAACATTTTTATATTGTTGAATTTTCTAAATATGTGAAGATTTTAAAATTCATGATTTTTCAAACTAGTGAGATTATTAAAATTCATAATCTTTTTCAAATTCATGGGCCATTATTCAAATTTTTGAATATTTTGTGCAATCATGCATGTGGACTGAGGAGAGGGATGAGATGGTCTTTGTGCCAAGGCCCGGTCTTGCATTTTTAAGCTTATGACCAAAGTTTTAAAATAGTGGGCTATGGAAAATAACAGTCGAATTGCTAGTGTGATAAACCAGTGCTACAACACGCTAAATGGAACTAAACAACTTAGTGGGATGCCCCTCCAAACGGTAAAGCGCCGTTATAGTCTCGAGATAGGCCGTTATTTAAAACTATGCTTAAGACCCACTCTTCAATGTAGGCTTTAGAAGCCTTAAGACCAACCTTACGTCCACATTGAAGATACCTAAGCTTGTGGCTACCCTTAAGAAGATTCTCTTAAGATCAACCTCCACAATATATAAAGCTAGCATAAGGGCTCCATTTTGCTTATGTCCTCCTTGCAACCAACATTATGGCTGCCCTAATGGGGCTCGACCGATCAGTGTTCATCATCACCACACCATTCTTCAAAGCCGTCGCCATTCGCCCATGCTCTGCTTTGCAAGTTCATGATGATCCTACATATCACGATGGACAAATCAAGTAGCAAGATGAAGCTAGTTGCAGTCAAACATCACCAGCTAGTTCAGCTTCCATACATGTGCAACCTTTTCCCCCGCATTCTGTTTGATGACGTTCTTCATCGCATTCAGGTGCTCAAGCTCAACAATGTCCTTTTTAGACGCATGCTCGCTGTGGTGATGCAGATGTGTGCTGTGGGTGGTCGAGCTAGGCGACTCATGGCTCGTACTATTATTTGTTCTTTCGATCCCATAGAAGGTTGGAAGCAGATGAACAAATTCAAACTTGAGAAATTAAACTCATAACATATTACGAAACTCTAGTGGTATTTTGTTCACCGAACAATGTTACCTATAAGTATCTTTGCCATTGAATTGCTAGATGCAACGGCATCCTTGTTTTGTTGGGTCCATCCCAAATTCTTCACATTTTACTATGAGTATTTTGCTTGCAAAAAGGGGAAAAATCTGAGTTTTTGTAGATGTGAGTCGCTCTATTCCAGCCCATTTTCAGATGCGGGAGACACTGACGGGAGGGGCCACTTGGTCAGCTCAAGGTCGAGCCAGTCAACCAGACCACGCAAATCCACACTGCCCGCTCCCCCTCGCCGCCGGCGCCACCGCCACCGCGCCGCCGCCTACACCAGCACACCATGCTCCGCCTCCACAAGTGCATCCTCACCCAGCTGCTCCCTCGTACCTCTGCCTCCACCTCCCCACTCCACCGTCTCATCTCCGCCGCCGCGCCCGCCGCATCCCCAGGCCCCAGCTTCGCCGTGGAGGACTACCTCGTCGCCACCTGCGGCCTCACCCGAGCGCAGGCGCTCAAGGCCTCCACGAAGCTCTCCCACCTCAAGTCGCCAGCCAATCCCGACGCCGTCCGCTCCTTCCTCGCCGGTCTCGGCCTCTCCACCGCCCACGTCGCAGCGCTCGTCGCCAAGGACCCCAAGTTCCTCTGCGCAAGCGTGGAGAGGACCCTGGCTCCCGTCGCCGTCGGGCTCGCCGGCCTCGGCCTCTCGCGTCCCGGAGTCGCGCGGCTCGTCTCGCTCGCCGGCGAGTTCTTCCGCGGCAGATCCGTCGCCTCGAGGCTGGCCTACTTCCTCTTCCTCTTCGGCTCCTACGAGGACCTCCTCCGGGTGCTCAAGCACAGCCCCAATCTCCTCGGATGCGACCTCGACCGGGTCATCAAGCCCAACGTCGCCTTCTTGCGGGAGTGCGGGCTAGGTGCTTGCGATATTGTCAGGCTGTGCAACCGTGTGCCATGGCTGCTCGGCAATAACCCGGAGCGCGTCCGGGCGATAGTGGCGTGCGCCGAAGGGCTCGGTGTGCCCCGTGGATCGGGGATGTTCGGGCAAGCGCTGCAAGCTGTCGCATTCCTCACCCAGGAGAAAATCACCGCCAAGGTCGAGCACTTGAAGAAGATGTTCCGGTGGTCGGATGCCGAGGTGGGCGTTGCTGTTTCTAAGGCTCCGGCGGTGCTGCTGAAGGCCAAAGAATCGCTGCAGCGCAGGTCCGAGTTCCTCATCTCCGAGGTGGGGTTGGAACCTGCATACATTGCTTTTCGTCCAGCAATGCTCATGTACAGCTTGGAGGGCAGGATCAGACCCCGATACTACGTTGTAAAGTTTCTCAAGGAAAATGGATTGCTAGATCATGACCGGGACTACTATAATACAATCGCGATCAGCGAGCAGGTATTTATGGAGAAGTTCATATGCCCTCACAAGAAATCTGCACCGCACCTTGTTGAAGACTATGCAGCAGCTTGCAGAGGGGAAGTGCCCGCGAGATTCATATCTGCATGAACCAACAACAGGGTGTTGGATTTTGCAAACGTGTACTGCACAATAAAGATTTCGCTCTGCCACCCAATAAAGGTTTCCTTGTTCTTTTTGTAACTATATATATGCTTTTTTCCTGCTATTGTATGTCCCCTGTTTTTTTGAATCTGTTGCATGCTACCTTTGTCGTTGCTAGCTCCTGATGAAACTGATACTTGCATTCCTTCATGGCATGGTTTTGAACTTCTTCATCCTCATGTAATGTTGACACCACATGTTGAAATAGAAAAATATGAGATCACATACCATTCTTGGATGCATTAAAATGCTATTTTCTGTTTAGTAGGTGTTTCCTTGCATGAATTTAAGTATTTTCACCAGCAGACCATAAAGTTATTATTCTCTGTTGTCCCTGCAAATGTTAAAAGTGGCGAGCGTCCTTATCAATATAAAGAAATCAATAGAAAAATGTTGCCTATCTAGTTAACAAGCTTCTTATTTGAAACCATCTATGTATGATAACTAGAGGCAATATGGGATGGTTGCTCTTCATCTGGTAGTCGATCATTGGGCAGAAAGAAAAAGATAGGGAAAGTGCAGAAGCTACTAATGGTTCAAGTAGCATTACTGGGTTTAGTTCCATTACACGCATGGTACAATATATTCAATCGAATTTCTGAGGGTTTGATCTTGCGTCCTTTATACACAATCCATACATTGCTCGCCTTCAAGGGCTCATCTCCTGTCTTTAGATGACAAGTGCATGACTCCCAAGTATAGAGCTGTCAGCTGTCGATGCCATTATCATATATAATAGTGGTTGGAACCCACTAAAGGATCAATAGGCTCGTCAAAGAATCAAAACAGAGTCACAACTTAAGTATCCAAGCATTTTTAGCTTATACACTCCTTTCACAATGGAGGAGAAGTGGTTTGTGCTTGCAAAACAGGGCACGCTTATTGATAAGTGATAACTACTTCAAGGATATAAGACATAGCATAAGCCATGCCTTGATCAGTTGGGTGCATCTTATATGAATATTTCTTCACTAGACTAGTAGACTTGATGAGCTTAAGCATGACAACTGTGCAAGTAAAAGCTCTGAAAGAGACAACTTTATGTATAAAGTAATTTCAGAGTTCTTGACAAAATAAACCATGATGTTGTAGGCAGCACCAAAATTGACTGTACATCCATATCAGAAGCTAATATCACCTGGAAATTTTACCCACAAAGATTAATGTAATAGACGTGCGTGCAGCTGCCGCTGCGTCCATCGATGCACTTCTCCATGGTGGCTGCCCTAAAAAGCTTGAGTCAAGACGAAGGAACACGGCTGGCCCATTAGTCAGTATAGCTAGCCATTTACATGATAGTATAGAAAAGATGCTATGAATACCGATGAGTTTAAAAAATCATTATCCCCACCTTCTGGAACCCAAGCACAAAGCTATATAACTCTCTCGTTCACTCATCTGATCTCGATCACTCCGATCACTCCATTCTACATTTACACCCAACTCGGTGAACATCCAACTCGGTGATCAGGGCCATGGAGGTGCCCTCCGTGGAGCAGGGCCAGACGGCCAAGCGCTACGACGACGACGGCCGTCTCAAGCGCACCGGTAAGTACAAAGCGACATCGTCCCTGCGTTCTTGTGGTTGTGGAACTCGCGTAGAATTCTGCTGTTTTGTTCTGCAGGGACGATGTGGACGGCGAGCGCGCACATCATCACGGCGGTGATCGGGTCCGGGGTGCTGTCGCTGGCCTGGGCCATCGGGCAGCTCGGCTGGGTGGCCGGCCCCGCCGTCATGCTGCTCTTCTCCCTCGTCACCTACTACACCTCCTCGCTGCTCTCCGACTGCTACCGCTCCGGCGACGCGACCACCGGCAAGCGCAACTACACCTACATGGACGCCGTCAACGCCAACCTCAGTACGTCTGCATGCTTGCTACTGTTCACCGAGTTGGGTGTAAATGTAGTTCGCAGCTGCATTCATGCATGCAGAAGAAGCCTCGGAGCTAACTCTGTTTCTCTCTCTTGAGAAGGTGGCATCAATGTCCAAGTATGCGGAATCCTTCAGTACGCCAACATCGTCGGCGTCGCCATCGGATACACCATCGCCGCCTCCATTAGCATGCTGTGAGTATTACCTGCAACGATTAACTTGATATGTTCTAGCTGGTCAACTTACCGTCGCTTGTGAACTGTATGATGCAGTGCGATCAAGAGGGCCAACTGCTTCCACGTCGAGGGGCACGTGAACCCGAGCAGCACCGCCACCACGCCCTACATGATCATCTTCGGCGTAGCGGGGATCTTCTTGTGTCAGATCCCCGACTTGCTGATCTCCTGGCTGTCTATCCTAGCCGCCATCATGTCCTTTACATACGCCACCATCGGCCTCGGCCTCAGCATCAGCCAGGTGCTCGCCAACAAGGGCATCAAGGGCAATCTCAGTGGCATCCGCATCGGGGTCGTCAGGCCCTTGGACAAGGTCTGGCTGACACTCCAGGCCATCGGGGACATCGCCTTGGCATACTCATGTTCGCTGGCCCTCATCGAGATCCAGGACACCATCAGGGCGCCGCCGCCGTCCGAGACCAAGGTCATGCGCCGCGCCACGGTCGTCAGCACCGCCACCACCACGCTCTTCTACATGCTATGCGGCTGAATGGGCTATGCGGCCCTCGGCGAGAACACCCCAAGGAACCTCCTCGCCGGCTTCGGCTTCTACGAACCTTTTTGGCTCCTTGACATTGCACACGCTGCCCACGTGATCCACCTCATCGGCTCTTACCGGGTAGATTGTCAGACACTGTTTGTCCTGGTGGAGAACTGGGCAGAGCGCAGGTGGCCCAAATCATCGTTCGTGACAGACAAGATAAACATCAAGCTGGCATCATACAGCCTGAAGTTCAACCTTTTCGGGCTTACGTGGCGGTCGTTGTTCGTTGTTTTGACGACGTTGGTGTCCACGCTGCTGCCCTTTTCGGCTGAGGTTGCCGGATTCGTTACGGCCATGCTGTTTTGGCCCCTGACAGTGTACTTCCCGATACAGATGTTCATCGTGCAGAAAAAGATACCCAAGCATAGCATACAGTGGGCGTGCCTTCAGCTGCTCAGTCTTGCCTGGCTGATCATCACCATTACCGCCGCAGCCAGCTACATCGTCGTTATTGTCCGTTCTTGACAAGTGATCGGTTACATGGCACGCATAGGAATTTGCTTATATGTTTTTTTTTTGTGGGTGTGGAATTTGCTTATATAAAGTTTGTGTGCCACTTTTAATACTACTATACTACTATACTACTATAAAGTTTGTGTGCCACTCCATGACTCAAATGTGTATCTTTGTAGTCGCAATAAATTAGGGGAACGGTGCCACCCGGTCGACCGGTCACACGCGAAGTGGGGCCTTGCACCGCTTTTCTCCTGCGTTTCCTTATCTTCTCACCGCTAGTAGTATAGTACTTTCCCTTCCATCGCTGTTGTCTCGATCCACCTGCCAGCAGCTCACCGGCGTTGGCCGTCGCACCAGCCCCGCCTTGCGTCATTCGTGACTCATGACCACACACCGCCGCCACGAGCTGTCTCAGCACCACCACCGTGAGCCGCGCACCACGCCGGAGTTGCTCCAGCTGTACCGAGGGGATGCGCCGCCGAAATGGGCCTCTTAAAAAGTGATCCGACGCTGATTTTTCGACGAGGCACGGCCCAACAGGTTGGAGAGGCAGCCACATGCATGGATCAAGGCTTGCTGGGGCTCAGAGTGATTCGTTTGCTGGGCTGAAATGTACAGGCCCGAGAGATCTCGTGCGAAGGGGGATTTTTTTTTTCAATAGGATTAGGTTGCAAGGGTTTGGTGCAAAGGGGGGATGGATTGAGGATTTCTGGCCAGGGGGTTGTTCTGATTGTTCCCTTGTTGCAAAACAAAAAACTTGCAGGGTTGCCATCTGAAACAAAGAGGAGCAGTCATTAGGTATTGGGCAGAAAATTTTCTACAAACAATAAAATTGAACCAAGCGATGCTAGAACTTGTAGTGTTTTTTTTTCGTCTGAAAAAAGATGGAACAATTCCTATATGCTCCCTCTGTAAAGGGTTACTATAACAGAGTAAATCGACAGTGGTTTGATGCCCGAGCCTTGCTGAAAAACCGATGGAAGAATTCTGTAGAAACTTGAAAAGAAATTAGCCAGAAAATTCATAAATTGAACAATCTTACGCCACGAAGATAGTACCACCTTGGCAGAGCATAACACACGGCCGCCATGGCTCGCTGTGGGGAGGGAATTCATGAGAGAGAGCGGTCGGTTGGTTGGTTTCTCTTGGACAAGGGCATGGCACAAGCTAACCGCGGCCACCACGGCCATGACCAGAGCCTGACCAAGGACGCGCCGACCTCGAAGGCCAAGGCCATGGCCATGGGAACCGTGGCCATGAGATATTCTTGGTATTGGGTCAACCCTAGTTTTTGCTTCTGATCCGAGGAAGAGGAGATCTGGAGAGGAGGAGAAAGAAGCAGAGACGTGACACCCTTGGACAGGTTAAGTAGTCGGGTATGGTAGGCTCCGTTTTTAGCTGCGGCGACAGCTCCAACCCAACTGAGCTGAATCCTCGGGCCGGGCCGTTCGTTCAGACGCAGCTCAGGCCACCCCGCGACCCCATTCTGTCGGCGCGTCCGTTTGACGTAAAGCGGACGAACCGACCCGCCCAGCGCGCGAAAGCAAATGAATTTTTATATCTGTTTTTTATCCATCTCGATCCAAATTTGGACCGTTTCCAGGTGAAATGGACACCACACGAACACACGGGCCGTCTGCGTGTGTTCTCCTCTGGCCCGCCCGTCGGTGGCACAGGGGCACCTTTTTCTATCCGCCCCCTCCCTTCCTCCGGCCGCACCTCCTTCATTCTTCTCCACTTTCCCACTCTTTCCCTTGGCGTCGCCGCGGCCGCTGCTGCCATTGCAGCCGTGCAGCTCGGACGCTCGCTCGCCCAACCCCTTCCCCTCGTTGCTGCCGAGCTATCCAACCACGGCCACCTGGTTTGCGCACCCGCCGGCCGGATTTAGGGCGGATCTAGTCTGTTTTGAGTTCGCCCGGCTGTGCGAGGCCGCGCCGCGCTATGGATTGGCCGAGCACCTCGCCGGAAGGCCCTGGCAGGGCCGCAAGGCCACATGCAGGCAGTGGCTCCTCCTCTAGCCACTCGGATCTGCACCGTCAGTGGTCCGCCGACAGATACACGAATGGCGGTCGGCCGAGCTCGGTGCTTGTCCAAAAGCTCGTCGGCGCACCGTTGCCACTCATTAAATGCGACCACTGCCCAAAGAAGGTGCGCCGCGTGTCTACAACACCGAAACATCCCGGATGGGTGTTCATCAAGTGCTTAAACGAAGGGGTATGCGCTCTAGATTTGACTAGTTGTGCTAACTTCAAATTTTATTGTGTAGCATGGATGCAAGTTTTGGTATTGGGAAGAAGAGTACATCGATATATTGATAGAGCGCAATTTAGTAGATGTTCGTGCACTTTTAGCTAGCATAAAAGCTATAGATCAGACAAGTGTACTTATTGCTAGATTAGAGGATAGACACGAGACTAGGTGTGAGAAACGAACATCGACTGTTGGAAATATGCCCTAGAGGCAATAATAAATTGGTTATTATTATATTTCCTTGTTCATGATAATCGTTTATTATCCATGCTAGAATTGTATTGATAGGAAACTCAGATACATGTGTGGATACATAGACAACACCATGTCCCTAGTAAGCCTCTAGTTGACTAGCTCGTTGATCAATAGATGGTTACGGTTTCCTGACCATGGACATTGGATGTCGTTGATAACGGGATCACATCATTAGGAGAATGATGTGATGGACAAGACCCAATCCTAAGCATAGCACTATATCATGTAGTTCGTATGCTAAAGTTTTTCTAATGTCAAGTATCATTTCCTTAGACCATGAGATTGTGCAACTCCCGGATACCGTACGAATGCTTTGGGTGTGCCAAACGTCACAACGTAACTGGGTGGCTATAAAGGTACACTATGGGTATCTCCGAAAGTGTCTGTTGGGTTGGCACGAATCGAGACTGGGATTTGTCACTCCGTGTGACGGAGAGGTGTCTCTGGGCCCACTCGGTAGGACATCATCATAATGTGCATAATGTGATCAAGGAGTTGATCACGGGATGATGTGTTACGGAACGAGTAAAGAGACTTGCCGGTAACGAGATTGAACAAGGTATCGGGATACTGACGATCGAATCTCGGGCAAGTATCGTACCGATAGACAAAGGGAATTGTATACGGGATTGATTAAGTCCTTGACATCGTGGTTCATCCGATGAGATCATCGTGGAACATGTGGGACCAACATGGGTATCCAGATCCCGCTGTTGGTTATTGACCGGAGAACGTCTCGGTCATGTCTGCATGGTTCCCGAACCCGTAGGGTCTACACACTTAAGGTTCGATGACGCTAGGGTTATAAAGGAAGTTTGTATGTGGTTACCGAATGTTGTTCGGAGTCCCGGATGAGATCCCAGACGTCACGAGGAGTTCCGGAATGGTCCGGAGGTAAAGATTTATATATAGAAAGTCCTATTTCGACCATCGGGATAAGTTTCGGGGTCATCAGTATTATACCGGGACCACCGGAAGGGTCCCGGGGGTCCACTGGATGGGGCCACCTATCCCGGAGGGTCCCATGGGCTGAAGTGGGAAGGGATCCAGCCCAAAGTGGGCTGGGGCGCCACTTTCCCCTAGGGCCCATGCGCCTAGTGTGGGGGAAACCCTAAGGAAGAGTCCCAAAAGGGGAAGGCACCTCCTAGGTGCCTTGGGGAGGAGGGATTCCTCCCTTGGCCGCCGCCCCCCTAGGAGATTGGATCTCCTAGGGCCGGCGCCCCCCCCCTTGGCCCCCCTATATATAGTGGGGGAGATGGAGGACTTCTTACCTTTTGCCTTTGGTGCAGCCCTTTCCTTCTCCCAAGTCCTTCTCCTCTCCCCTGGTGCTTGGCGAAGCCCTGCAGGATTGTCACGCTCCTCCATCACCATCACGCCGTTGTGCTGCTGCTGGATGGAGTCTTCCTCAACCTTTTCCTCTCTCCTTGCTGGATCAAGGCATGGGAGACGTCACCGGGCTGTACGTGTGTTGAAAGCGGAGGTGCCGTCCGTTCGGCACTAGGATCTCCGGTGATTTGGATCACGACGAGTACGACTCCATCAACCCCGTTCACTTGAACGCTTCCGCTTAGCGATCTACAAGGGTATGTAGATGCACTCTCCTTCCCCTTGTTACTGGTCTCTTCATAGATAGATCTTGGTGACACGTAGGAAAATTTTAAATTTCTGCTACGTTCTCCTTCATCCACTTCTTTAGACGCAAAGAAGAAAGAAGCATGCAAGATTGAGCCTCCTCCGCAGATCAACAATGAGTGCATCGAAAAGGCTCTAACCCAACTCATGCGGGTAGTTATGGAAGTTGGATATCTTCTAAAATGTATTCTAGTGGTTCTTGTTTTCTTTGATCTTGCTTTCCTAGTCCAAATTTAATGATGTATTCTTATGTATCAAAATGAATGATGAAAAAAAGTTAAGGACTTGCAAAGAAAAATGTACGCGGACGGGATGCGGCCGGGCGCTGGGCGTACGGCCACCGCATCCCAGAAACTGCCCAGACACGACATCATTGCCTTATTCGAACGGACAAAATTCGGGCAAACGGATGTCTGTTTGGGTCGCGGGGTGGAGTTGGCCTCATCTCAGTAGGGAGTGAGCTTCCTGTCCTGTCCTGTCCTGTCCCACCTGCAGTGGCAACGTCACGTGCGGGTGCGGCGGCCAACTACCTTGGACGCTTTCCCGATTTACCTGCTCTACCGTGGGAGGCAGTGGTCAGCCAGACGCAGGGCCGCGGACCCACGCGTAGCCTCCTCCCCGACCGGGACATAAAAAGGTGTGACGCCTCCTCCGGATCTAGCATTCGTGTGCGTGCCTCTCCGTCCCATCATCGTTGGATATTTTTTGCTCCCCGCATCGGAAGGCTACCAGCTCATTAGAGGAAACACACGATCCGTGTGCTCTCTTGTCATTGGACGACAGCTCCTCCTCTCATCTAGTAGTACTCCTACTAGTACTAGTATTTTTTTCCCTGTTTACTGAATAAAAATAAAATAATCTAGTCGCGACCC